ATACTTTCGTCATAATTTCAACTGACCAAAAAAGCCAAAAGTGATCCCTTTTAGGGGTAAAAATTTGTGCTCGAAATTCGCAAAGAAAATTTCATCGTCTTAAAAATTCTAAGCAAGTTTTGCCTGCATCTTTTTCCACCTAAAATCAACTCAATTTGAGATAAACGCGTTTTAAATTTCAAGATTAATGCGTTTCGTCCGGATTATTTAAATCAACACTGTATACTGGACGAGAAGGAAAACGCATCTTTAAAGTATTGAGCTATCTTTTGTTGAAGTGAAAAATAGCTGCAAAATTGTGAAATCTATTTTAATACTTTTGAAACAATTTAATCACCTTTCCGCATTTTCTTTTTAAATTTTTGGTCTAATTCCGATCTTATAAAGCGGGCAAGCAGGCTTATAATACGGAAAAAAGATGGCAAAACTTAGATTTACTCCAGTTTTTTAAGTTTTTAGAGCCTTCTGGAACGGGCCGAGTGATATATCATATTAACGCCCTTTCAGTCGTGATTCGAATTTTATTAGGAAGTTTTCAAAAATTGTCACAGTAACGAGAAAAACTGGTTTCAAGTTTTTGAGTTTTACTTCACTTCCGAGCGAGTAATGCGAGCGAGCAAGAATATTATAGAAAGACAAGACGGAAACTTTGTTTCACTCCAGTAAAATTATTTTTCGAAGTTTTTTAAAGCTATCTTGAGAACAAAAAACTTCAAAAATTCAAAAAGTGTTCTAGTTGCCTATTTTACTATGACTCTAGAACTTTCCTAAATTATAGATTTTTTTATGATCCTTTTATCACACAAATAAGGTAGGTTTTTAAAAAATATGGTCGTAGTATTCTTAGATACTTCCACAAGAACTGGATATCCCTGTTTGCGTTTGATTTAGTTATTTGTTGTTTGTTAGTTAATTTGACTAAAAATTGCACCGGATATTTACAAGAAATTAGCTAATTTCATCCGCAGAAAAAGACATGATGGTGCATGATCTGTGTTCGATTTTTTTACTGTAAAAACAAAAAACTATTCCAGGTGCTCGGTCTAAAAACGGTAAAAAAAAGTTAGCGCCATAATATGTGTTAGTTAAAAATTAGATTTTTTTTTTTCTACATTATCCTTGCCAAAAAGTTTTTTCATCAATTGATCTCAAAGCAAGTAGTCCAAATTCATGTGACCTATATTTGAACGACTTGCTTTGAGATCAATTGATGAAAGTGCTTTTTCAAAATGCATCTTTTTTAAAATGAACACAGATGCGAAGCTGCGCTTCGCAAACACTAGCAATAATACAAAAAAGCAGCTTTATAAGGTGAAACAAGAAAAGATAAAAATAAGCCTCGAATAAGTTAAACTTTGCTACGAACGCCTAACAAACGGCAAAAACTAGTCACAAACAAAGCAGCTACATATGATAACAAACTGCCAATGCGATGCAGCAAAAATGGTACCAAATAAAAACAAACACAAATTTGCAAGGAGTAGTTAGGAATATAACAAACTGAAGGCACCACACTAATTTTGCAAGTAATAAATTGCGAGATAAATTGACTAAGGAAATTTCTGTAATCGAGTGTTTGTGTTTGTTGTTGTATAAAACAAATAGCTTTTTTTCGGTTCAATTGATGAATTTAAAATGCATCAACTGTGTTAACTTAATACTATTCGAATGTCAAAGCACGTACTATCAATAAGCCGTAAAGATGCCCTAACAGTGGCACCAAAATTGGCGACTTAAGTTAGAAAAACACTAAAGCTCAGTAAAGTTCGCTAGTGTAAAAAAGAAGCTGACGAATTTCTAAATTAATGTTACGTTTTCAATGTTGCCCAATATACATTCGGCGCTTTCCTCGAAAAAAAAAATATCGCATATAGTAAAAACCGATTTTTCAATGGCCTACAATTATATTTTCTAAACGCCCAAAAACACCAGGCATCAGACGCAGAAACAAAACAGCACCTCGAATATATGATGAAAAAACATAGCCAGTCTTTTAGAAAAGTATCAATGAACTCAAAACTATAAAAACAAAAACAACTGAACATTTTCAAAACATTTCTAAAGAAACAAATATTTAGGTCTTAAAGCCATTTCAATTTCAAATATCTTTTATGAATGACTTTTTTCGACACAAATAACCCAATTCGAGAAAACTGGGTCAACAGGTAATTTTTTATTCGGCGGGGAAATCTATTTTGAAAAAAAGTAATTCTAGTTTTTTGGCACCATTTGGACTTTCGTAACTCGAGCTTAACGTGTCTTCCACCTGACAGAAGCATTCAAATTAAACTTTAAACAAGCAACAACGCGAAAAAATCAAATTTAAGCGTCATCATTTTTTGGGACTTTTTCTGAAAAAAAAACACATTAAATCACTTTCATCGTTCAAAATTTACAAAACAAAAGATAACTTAAAAACGACAAAACCTTTTCCATTGGTCGTAACATAATCATAAAAAGCAATCCTTAAATTGAATAAGACTTGCTGAATACTGAGATAGTCTCATAGAATGTTCCTAACACAAATACCATTTGAATTTCAATACTTTTTTCTGGAACACACGACCTGAAGGCACTTCTGTAGTTATTACAGCATTTTAAGTATTTTCCTGAAAAAAATCATCACAACCTATATAAAAGACTTAGCTACTTTAAACGGGTCTTGAAAATGTTAAAATGAACGAAAAAACAAATAGAAAAATGTTAAGCATAAATAAAAACGACATTATAAATGCATCAGAAAGACACTTTAAGAAGAACATCATAATAAAACAGTGGCAATAATATTCTGTTTGAATCCCGTGAACATAACTTTATTCTTCCGACCATTTGAAAATGAGGAGGAACTTTGTATTCGGGTGTGTTTTAGTTGTTTTCTTTTTTTTTTGTTTTCCACGCAAAATTTTGTACCACAAATAATCATGGGAATCGGTCGAGTGATTTACCAAATTGAAGCATTTTCAGTCGCGATTCGAACGACATTAAAAAATTTCAAAAAGTTTTCTCAATATCGAGAAAAACTGGTTTAAAACTTTTGATTTTTATTTCAACTTCGAGCGAATAAAGCGACCGAGAAGGCTTACAACAGCTTATTTATACTTAATTTAAGCCCTGAAAACTTAATTTTAAGCAATTAAAATTAGTTTTGGAGTTTTTAGCGCCATTATATGGAGCAAAAACTTCAAAAAAAAATAAAACAATTTCTGCAAATAAATTTCAAAAAGAAAAATGTTTTTTCAATTTTTTTTAAAAAATTTTTGTTTTTCTAGGCAATTTTCAACAAAACCTTTTGTCCAATTTACTTATATTAGTATTCACTTTCGAATATGACTTAGTTATACTTTTATATCAGATCCTTTTATCACACAACGCAGAAAAAAAACTACACTAATTTGAAAAAAAAAATTATCGTTTTGTTAAAGACTACTGTCGGAACATTTTGTGCTATTTGCACAGAAACCGGTTATCCTTATTTAACCTGTAATTATTGCCTTCCTTTTAACTAGGTTAATAAATAAACATTTTTCAATCATATCCAAGTTGTTTTTTGAAAAAAAACCTCATTTCAATAAAAAAAACTTGTTGATTGATTCGTTTTTGAAGAAAAAAAAATTGAAAAAACTTCTTTTTGAAAAAAAAATTCCATCGAAAAAAAATTATTTGCCCTTAAGGCTCTTTAAAACAATTTATGATGGGCCATTTTTTAGATAAAAGGAACCCAATTTGATAAAACTGGATCAAACGGTAAAGTTTCATTCCGCTGGGAAATCAGAAGTCGATCACGTTTCTTGTGACATTTAATTCTTGATGTTCGATAATGGGATTTGCATTTCGTTTACACAGAGGTTAAACGGAGCTTCGCATCACTTGCGATACAACACAAGCAAAAAAAACAGAAGAAGTCAAAAAAAGTGGAAAAAGCTAGGTCTACCAAAATTTACGAAAAGGAAACAAAGCTAACAATCTTTGAGCTGACACAAGTTGAGCCGTAACAAACTATTGCATACAAAATATTTAGAGTTTTGAGTCCCTCCTGAAACTACAATGAACAACATTTGCACTTTCAGCTACAATGAAACTTGCTTTCAGCACGAATGCAAACATACTGAAAAAACAAGGTCTGGCTGGGACTCGAACCCCTCACTTAAGGATGCAAAACCGACAGCATTACCTCTAGGCCAAGTGGGAAGGAACCTGGAAGATATCAAGGTTCAGTAACAAAGCAAGTTGAAAAAAATGGTTTACCGAAAAAAGTCTAGTCCCCTATTAGAAAACACTTGCTCTCGCCACTCCTAACAAAAGAAATGAACTGTTCTTGAAAAAAAAATCAAAATCAACCAGCGAAAAATCGAATGTGTGCGTGAGCAAATTTTAACACATTTTCCTGAAAAAAAAAGAAAACATCATATAGACCTGATGTAAGACTAAAAGAGTTTTCATTACGTTCATTGACTATTAAAAAAACACGACCTATATATAAGTGAGAAATCACTTCGTTCATTAACACAACAGAGTAGACGACGAAGCTCAATTAGAGTTCAATTCAACTGATTCTCCCGATGCTTTGCCACTGTTACGGCAAACGAGCCATTCTGATCAACTACAGAAACTGTTTTCTCGGACGCATGGCGATCGATCTGTTTACAGTAAAAAAAAATTGACAACAAAGAACTTTGAGTTTCAGATAGGTAAAATTTTTCAAGTAAAAGCCTGGAAACCTAGCCATCTGTCAATGAACTCAAGAAAACCTAAAAACTTCTATGAATTTCTCCTTTTTGATAGAACCAAGCTAATTTGAGAGAACTGAATCACTACTTGAAATTCTTATTCTACGGGGAAATCTAAAATTCACTGCTAAATCTAATACTTAAATTCACTTTGAAACTAAACGTTATTAACATCCGCCATCCGAATTCCAACTATGGAAAAATACCTTAAGGTTGTCACGATGAGTGTAAAAGTGGAATTAGTAAGCTACACTTCATGTAAATTACACTCACCTGCAAAGTAGGTGCAGGTGGTTGGCCAATTGGAGTCCAATCCAGGATGACCCGGGGAGAATCGTCGAAGCCCATCACACACAACTAAACAAACAGAACGCCCATTCACTCACTTTCCAGGAGTCAACTAATTAGGACAGGAAAAAAGACAAAAACACCGTGAGTGCAAGACTCATCAAGGTAGGAGAGTCTTTATAATGGGAACTGGTATATGATATTAGCTTTTAGCTAAGATATCAATAGTTACAACCGTAAGGAGCGTTTAAGCACAATTTGTCCTCTTTCTAACTCATAACGAAATTGAGCAAAATTGATTTTATCATGCACTCTAATAAGTGATCTATAATTCACAGCGTGACTTCATTCCCGGGTTCATCAATTTGGTAAAAAACCAATTTCGTACCACGCAAACCAACTTCTAAGTAAAACAAGGATAGCCGGTTAGCAAATAGCACAATGTTCCGACCATAGTCTTAAAACAATTTTTTCTTCTTCAAATTAGTGTCTTTTTTCTGTTTGAAGTGATAAAGATCTAAGCAAAAGTAAAAATTCAGCATAATCGACGTCATAGTCACATAGGCCAATTGGAAAACAGTTTCTGTAGAAAAAGACTGAAGACGAATTTTTTTTTTTGGATTTTCGAGAACTTTTATTCCCAAAATGGCGTCAGAAACTAACTTTGCTCGAATAAACAATGAAAAACGTTTTATTCGAAATATTTCCAACCCATCGGTAATTTTCGACCCCCCGCAAATTATGTGCAGCATAGTAAGGCACGGATGTTTAGCTATTTAAACTAATGAACCATACGCACTACCATAATGGAATTTGGCACATCAAGGTTAGATTCATCATTAGCTTACATTTTTGGAGGTATAAAATATATCTTGGACAACTCTTCTGATTTCTAGTGCATTCTCCACAACAGAAGTCCAGTAGGATCTGGATACATAAAAGGTGGGACTAGTCGGAGAAGACTGACTATTTGATGACTGGTTTTTGTTCCTAGAAGAGACATCCAGATCTACTCTGCTATTAGGTGGTCCCTCCCTTAACATGTGAGAGGTGTGGTCCAGCAACACAAGTATGTGGTCACACGTTGAAGCCATTGCTAGTCTCAAATTTAGTTAACCAACTCAGTGACGGCGAATGCTTATGAATTTTCAAACTACTTATAAAAATCTATCACAGGTAAAAACGAGAAGTCATTTTCTTCATTTTTCATGTCATGAAACTGCTATTTGTAAATACACAACAAAAATCAAGATGAAGATAATCTCAAAGCAAATGTGTGTTTCAATAGTCCCTAAACTTGGAGTAATGATTCATAACCTTGGAATATGAGCAAATTTAGCATTTACACATTTGCCGAAAAAGATGTCAATTCCTGCTAAAATACCGTTAAAATCCTGTCAAACTATTAAGTTCTAAGTTTTACATAGCAGATTTTGTACCATTTATAAAGTTTCATTAGGTACGAAAAACTTTCCAACAGCATCGCGATTAACACCAGTTTACAATTAACACCAGCTTTTTTACTACTCGCTCAATTCTGAAGAATTTATGTCCACAATCAGGCTGCTGCAAATTGCGTGCTTGCCAGTCCTTTGCGGCCCAAATCCGCAATATAAAGAAACCTGTGCCAGTGATAGAAAACTAATTTTACAGAGTCGATTTTAATTTTTTCATAATGTATTAATATTTTTGTTCCGACCATTGAAAATGGGGAGGAACTTTGTATTCGAGTGTTTTTTTTTTCGTTTTGCTTTCCACGCAAAACCAGGTACCACAAACAATCTTCGGACTGGTGTGAGTGATATATCGTATCAAAGACCTTTCAGTCGCGATTCGAACCAGATTTAAAAAATCCACACGTTTTTTTTTCTAGTGTCGAAAAAAAAATCGGTTTGAAATTTTGATATTTGGTCTTATTTCGATCAAATAAAGATAAGCTATCAGGCTTAAAATAGCTTATTTATGCTTAACTTCAGCCGCGAAAAGTTTTAGTTTTAGTTTTAGTCGAGTCAAATTATTTTTTGGATTTTTTCAGCTAAAATTTGAGAATCAAAATTTTCAAAAACAAAAATACTGCAAGAAATTGAAATTTTTTGATTAAAAAAATTTTTTGTTTGTTTTTCTAATCATTTTTCTAGCAAAAATTTTGTCCAATTTGGCTTTTCTACTATGACTGATGAATATGCCTAAGTTGTTTTTTTTCTTTTCGTTCAGATCCTTCTATCATACCAAGTAGAAAAAATATTTAGTATTTTTAAAGACTTTGGTCGGAACATTCTGTGATGTTTGCTCAGTAATCGGCTATCCTTGTTTATTGATGCAATTACTCAATACGAATCGCTGCCTTCAACAATACACAGAATTACGTATATAATGAATCTGATGATTCCAATTTGATAGTATTCTACCCAAAGCACCTTATCATTATATCTGCTGAAAATCAGCTGTGCCATCAAAACTTCATATTTTACAATCAACGTTCAAGGAGTACGTGTAATTCGCTCATCAGACTCCCGTTAAAAAACAACACTCGATTGAGAAAAAATCTTAAATTTTATGAATGTGGTAGTAACATTCTGTGATACTTGCCACAACCGACTATCTTCTTTTGCTCAAAACAGGGCTAATAATTCGTCTTATCCCTAATAATAATTCGTATTTTGTTTTCATTCATTGACTTATACCGAGGGTGCATTCATGACTGAAATTTTGACACAGGTTGGATGAAACTATTAAAACCCAGAGCGCAGATCAAAAACGAAACAACACAAGGACATAACCAAAGAGTCCTCATTAACAACACAGGGAGTGTGATTTTTAGACATAACAATATTCCTTGAGAGCAATGAATTCAAAATACGGGTCTGATCTAGACAGTGAACTTATCAACGAGCAAAGCAATTCAATTGAGGGCTTTTTGGTTGGTGGAAAACGGATAATTGTTTCCCAATTTGCTTGCCCTTAAAACGAACGTAAAAAAAATACTAACTGCTGTTATAAATAGTGATTTAAAATTTGGCTAATAAATTTCTTTTAATTAGGCGCCTGGCTTCTGATTTGTGTTTGACTGTCTTTCTTATTTGCCTGTCGGTTAAATTCGTTGTCTGGATCAGACGTGTCTCCTTGTCATTCGCCAAGCTGGACCGTTAAATAAGTTTCGCTCATCACAAGGCAAACGTTTTTTTGAATTGTCAAACAAAAATGTTTGTCAAAATCATCTAGTTAAACTAACTAAAAATGACTAAGTTGTTCCGGCCATTTGAAAAAATGGGAGGGGGTGAATTACCTATTCGGGTGTTTTAGTTTTTTCTTTTTGTCTTTTTCATTGTTTTCCACGCAAAATCAGTTACCACAAATAATTATCGAAACGGTTCGAGTTTCATCAAAAAACCCTTTCAGTCGAGATTCGAGTGAAATTAAAATTTTCAGATAATCGTTCTTTTACTCAAGCATAATGATTTTTGTAGTCAAGAATGTCAAGCAGGCTTATTTCAGGAGGATGGGCCTTAAAACTTCATTTTACACCATGATAATTTAGCTTAACTAAAGCGCATTTTCTTTTTTCCCGTTCTATTTGCAATGAAATACTCAGTACATTCAAAAACATCTCTGCAAAAAATGTGAAACTTTCTTCTTTCCTTAATATATCCACGTTTCTCCACCAAATTTTCTTCTTTCCTTAATTTTCCATGTTTTTCTACTTAATTTTCTAGAACTGCAGTCGAGAATGCTTTATTTACTATAATTATGAAAAAAGCCCAAGTTCAAGGCATTCATGCAGATCCTCTCGTTACACCACGGATAAAAATTTACAAATAACGAAACTGATTCATTATTGTGGTCTCTCAATAATGTGTGAAACTGATTGAACTCTCGATACTACTTGCACACCAACCGGCTACCCTTGTCTTAGTTTTTTTCTAAACCAAAATACGCAAAATCAGGTACCACTAACAACCATCGTAATGAATCGAAGAATAAAACGTATTAAAGACCGTTCAGCTGTGATTCTAATGACATGAAAACATTTTCCCAGCAGCCAATAACAATACCTTTGCCGCCAAAGATATTCCATTCGGGATTTGGATAAAATCGAGCCTTATTCGCCCCACAATAAAAGCGTATCGATAGGAAAATATTTGCCGTGATGGTTGTTGAATACTTCGCAAAGACAAAATATCCCAGCAAAAATGAGTTCTAAAACCCTCGAAAGAAAAAAATTGTTAAGATAACTTCCTAATATTGCGGATGATGCATGTAATCTGCCGCTTCAAAGCCAAACAAACACAACATCAAACCACTGAAACCTAACAACCCAATATTTTTGTAACCATTGATACTTTCACAAACACTTAGTTTCACACATACTTTACTGATGAATATCAGTCAGCAATGAATGCGCTGTACTTAGCTCATCTGACTAAAGTTTGTAGAAAAATCTGGATTGCTGAGTGTAAAAAACTGATCAAAAAATGAAAATCATGGTTCAGTAAACCAAAATACGTGACCATTCGTTCTACCATGTATTCATTAGAGTTCCTGTCTGAATTCAGTCGTAAAAACGTAAAAAACGAAATGTAGAAATTACCCAGCGAAAAATAGAATTTCCTTATTGATCCAGTTTTCTTGAAATTGAGTTTATTTAATACAAAGAGTGTCAATCATAAATTGTTCTAGAAACGCAAAGAGCGTTTCTAGGACAATTTACGAAAACGAAATATAGAATCCTCGAATTTTTTTTTGAAAAGATAACTTCCTACCATTGTGGATTATGCATGTAATCTGCCGCTTCAAAGGCAACCACAAAACACATCAAACCACAGAAATCTAACAACCCAATATTTTGTAACCACTGATACTTTCACAAACACTTAGTTTCACACATGCTTTACTGATGAATATCAGTCAGCAATGAATGCGCTGTAATTGAGCTCATCTGACTAAAGTTTGTAGAAAAATCTGGATTGCTGAGAATTAAAGAAAACTGACCAAAAAATGAAATTCATGGTTCAGTAACCAAAAACGTAGCCATTCGTTCTACCGAGTATTCATTATATTTCCTGGCTGAATTCAGTCGTAAAAACGTATAAAACCTTATTTCGAGCGCCAGACTAACCCTTTTAAACCGTTAGGCTCACGACCAGTGCCAATTACATTCAAATTGATTTCCATTAAAAAAACGTCATATTGTAAAAATTTGATATATGTTAAGTATGCTGAGTTTATGTCATTCATATAATGAATAATATGAATAAGAACATAGCCTACAGACTGATGGAAAATAGTCTATGAACGCAAGCAAGTAAACAGAAAAAAAACACTGATTAGTTTTTTTTGAAAAAATCCCAACTTTCGAATTTCAAAAAAAAAACATAGATACCTTAACGCTCGTTGCGTTTCTAGAACAATTTATGATTGACACTCTTTGTATTAAATAAACCCAATTTCAAGAAAACTGGATCAATAAGTAAGTTCTATTTTGCTGGGAAATCTGATAATTTAATTCGAAACTAGAAGTCTATCACGTTTTTTTTCGTTACATTTGCGCTTTTGCTGTTTGATAGTCAAGTTTGCCTACCCTTTAACAAAGGAAACAAACAAACTGAACTTATAAAAGAAATCAAGAGTCCAAACCTCGAAAAAATAAAATTGAGCATAAACAAACTTTAGACTTTTCCTGGAAAAAAATTATCACGAGCTATAAAAGGGCCTCAACTGCGTTAATTAAAAAATCTCAACTCTTAATTAAATGAAGCAGTATTTTTTCATCTCCAGTTTACTAAGCCAATCCACTCATTTTCGGTATACTGATACATCGAATTAATTGCCCGTAAAATTAACTTTCGAAGCCGTGAACAGATTATTTAATCTAGTACATATATCTGCCTTATCGTGTCTCTTCCTAATAAGAGCAAAAAAACGGTATTTCAAATCTATGAAAAAAAATTTTTAAGTTATTTAAATTTGCCACATTTTCAAGAATTGCTAGACAAGCACATACTTATCAAACAACTTACAACTGAAGTCACAAATTTTTTTATACACCAAGAAAGTCTCGCCCTCAATTCATTTCAACATCCATTTAATCGGTTCAGCACTTTTCAAAAAACTATTTATAAATACAAGCCCTCGGGAGTACCTTCAGTCTTTCTGTAAAGTACATTTTCTTTGCTCTTTTTGAAGTCTTCGTTAGTTACTTTCATTCTCCGTTCACGAAGCGCTAAAAGACCCGCTTCGGTGCAGATTGCTTTGATGTCCGCACCCGAGAGGTCATCCTTCACCTGGATAAGTTCATCCAGGTTCACGTCTTCTGCCAAGGTCATACGACTGGTATGGATGTTGAAGATTCGTCGTTTCGTTTTCTCGTCTGGTAGTGGAAACTCAATCTTCCGGTCGATTCTTCCAGGCCTTATCAGTGCGGGATCGAGGGTCTCAATTCTGTTGGTGGCCATAATAACCTAAAGGAAGCATCGAAACTATTTATTTTACGGAGTAAATGGAAAAATAGAATATTATTTTTTTTTAATTTCAATCTTAGCAAAAAATCATATGCTAGTTCACGTTCGGTAACTATTTACCCGCAGCTCGTTCCATCGTAATATATTGCACAAAAACGAAGCGGGACTTAGCAAAAACAAGCAAAAAACGGCAATTAGCTTTAAAATGGTCGACATCAGAAAAAAGCGACTAGCTTTTCAAGTCGACTGCCCTAAAAACTGTGCCACTGACACTTACAGAATCCAAACACTAGGCACTCAAAAATTGGAGAACACGTGCTAATAAACTACTAACCGCTATGCATCAAAAGGGCTACCATCTTTTACACAGAGCTGCCCTTCGCAAACCCTAGCCAGAACGAGACAAAATAGCAGCTTTATAAAGTGAAGTAAGAAAAGACATAAATAAGCCTCGAATTAGGTTAGGTCTAGGATTCGATATGCGACCTACTGCAATCTGAAGACTTTGAGTCTCACACTAACGACTCAGCCAAGTACGCTTAACAACCAGCAAACACAAATCACAAATAAAGCAGCTACATTTGCTAACAAATTGACAATTCCATGCAGCAAAAGTGGCACCAAATACAAAAAAAAACACAATTTTTCGATTTTACTAATTTCGAAATATAACCTGAAGCACACACAATAATTTTGCATGTAATAAATTGGAAAGCATAAAGCCACATTATGTATAAATTATGCATTTCAAAAAATTGAGATATATTGAGTTAGAAAGTTTCTGAATTCAAGTTTTTACACAAAGGCGAAGCTTCGCTTCGCAAATACTTGCGAGAATACGACAAAAAGCAGCTGTATAAATTGCAATAAAAATAAGAAATAAGCCTCGAATTAGTAAAAAAAATATATGTCAACCTCAGAGATTCGAACCAGCTACCTAGAGATTAAGAGACTCACACACTAACCACGGAAGCTTAATAGTTACCAAACACTAGCCACAACTCAAGCAAAAAACAGATGATATGCAATTATCAATGCTACATAGAAATTTCCAAATAAGTGCACACTTTTAATGAAAACTTTTATTTGCGAGTTGGGTTAGAAAAAAAAGAAGGTTCGTAATAACACATTGAGCTGATTGCAAGTGTAACAACTTTTATGTTGTTTGAAAGAAATAGCTTTTTTCGGTTCATTTGACGAATTCAAAATGCAACAACTGTGTTTACTTATTACTATTCGAATTTCAAAGCACATACTATCAGAGGTGGGACCAATATTTGCGAATTAGCGTAAAAAAAAAGAAAAGTCGTACTACAACACAAACGCTCACTTAAGCTCGCTAATGAAATTAGCAAGTTAGTTTGGAAAAAAAGTATTTTTAATTTCTTTTGAATTTGAAGTAGAGTTCGTAAAATGACACCACGCATGCTACCTCGCTGGTGCAATTATGCTCAATTAAATTGAATAAATTGACTGATATATTCCTAACCTTAACATCCGACTTGGAATCGAACCCATCGAGCTGATTCAGCAGTTCCAACATAGTCCTCTGAATCTCGCGCTCGCCTCCTGAGTTACTGTCGTACCTTTTTGTGCCAATTGCATCAATCTCGTCTATGAAAACTATACTCGGTGCGTGTTCTTCCGCAACACGAAACAGCTCACGGACCAATTTGGGCCCGTCGCCGAGGTACTTCTGGATCAACTCCGATCCCACAACTCTTAGGAATGTCGCCGACGTCTGGTTAGCCACTGCTTTTGCCAATAACGTCTTGCCAGTTCCCGGACACCCGTAGAGAATGACACCTTTCGGCGGCTTAATTCCCATTTCCTCGTAATATTCTGGATGAGTCAGGGGGAGCTCAACCGATTCTTTAATTTCTTGGATCTGTGTTTCGAGACCACCGATATCTGCGTAGGTTTCTTGAGGTGCTTTTTCCAATTTCATAACACTTACCATTGGATCGGTATCTTCTCCAAGGATTCCAACAACTGCGTGAACCTAGAAAAAAACATACGCATTAGCATTTATTGATAATTAATCCCCTGCAAACACATGCACTTTTTGGATCACTTTAGCTTTCTGCATCTACAGGAGCGGATATAGAATTTTCTCGAGGGTTGGGGGGGGGGGGGTTGGGTTGATTTTCAAAGAAAACTTTGTCTCGACCTTTTTTCTAGGTCGACCAACTTGATTTTCCGAGCTCTCCCAAAGTACTTAAAATAAGTATATATTGGCGCCAAAGGAAATTTTAAGGGTCCGTCGCCAAATGTGGATATCTCAAAATAGTACAAAGGTGGGAACCTTTGGGTCGCCAGGGGGTCGAATCCCTCGAATGGAGGAGGGACGCCCGCCCCCAACCCCCGCTTCCCCCCCCCCCCCTAAATTCGACCCTGTGCATCTACTCATCATTTATAAAATACGATAAAAAACAGAAAAAAGCAAAACATTTTACCTTGTGGTTGAGGAGCACAGTTGAGCCGGGTTCAAGCTGGTCTTTGTCTACAAAGGAAAGCATGTTGACGTAATGTTCAGATCCTACTGAGGTTGACACTATTGCGTGGTTCTCGTCAATAATCTCTTCCAGATTGCCCACACTCATTGGGGTCCCTCTGAGGTCGTCAACCTTTGACCTCTCCTCTTCCTGTTTCTCCTCCTGGGGCTTGAGTCGCTCTTGATTTCTGATGAACTCTTCCTCCATCAGCAGGTAGTCCTTAATTCTCTCCATCTTCAGAAGACGCAACCTAGCACAAACACAACCCTGATTAAGCTTATGCTACATCACCAATCAGACACTTTATTCGCGCATCCAAATGAGGTAAATCTACAAATTATACAAGACTACTTTGCTTTTGAATACAAAACGATACACGAAACTGCGATGGCAGAAAACAATATTAGGGTTTGAATAATAAATTTTTACCGATTAGCTCATTTCGTCCATTTAGTTTTCATATAAAAATACTTTCTAGCATGTTGACCTGCACTTTGTGTGAGGGGTGACAGCGGGCAGTTTGTTGGCTGCATCCGGTCCCTTGCCCCTCTTTTTCCTCTTTCCGATTCTAGTGGGCACGGGGGGTTCGTACTTCTTCTTGTCCTTGTCGTCTTTCTTATCTCCCCCAGCTCCTCCTCCAGGACCAGATTGATTTTGACCCATTTTTCAAACAGCTATCTGAAAAAGTTTCTCGTCGCACTATTGCTGTTTAGTATATTATGATTGAGCAGATGCCCAATAAGCAGATTAAATTTGGGAGACTCGAGTAGAAGGAGAAAATATTATTTATCGATGTCCTGTTTTCAAACACACGAAAAAAGTCAAACATACGAACTGTCCAGATCCTTATCGATAACCACATAAAAAAGATAACCACCTGCAATAACCCAAAAAAAACAGTTTGGTCAAACCTAGATCGAAATATAACTGCATGAGCTACAAGCTTTGGACAGAAAATGAAATGAAACTTCTCACCCCATGACATATGCCACTCTTTTGGGCGACCTTAATTATATTTTCATATCCGCAAATTTGATGGCTCTTTTAATGCCTTGTTTTTTATGGTTCTTACGAATTAGAAAAAGATTTTTGAAGACAATCAAGGTTTTGGAACATAAATCGACATTAATATTGGGCACATGTCAAATTATCAGTTACACTAAGTAAATTTATACTAAATTGTACAATTTAACAAAAACGAGTTTAAGTTTGAGCTTTTTGTGAATCGAACACTATCATTTCCAGAAAACTACCACAAGTAATGAAGATGAGTTCATTTCTCATTCAAATGCACTTTATACTTGATACGTCTCTAAAAATTGAGTTCAATTCATTATCCAGATAAAAAGAACGCTGGACGCCTTCTTAAGGATCCGCCCTTCTAACTCTATTTAGGATGCTTGAGTTTGGCTTTGACATGATAAAACAAGGGGCGTATTTTTCGGCAGAACGTCCATTCGGCCTAAATGCCTTCCGATGAATTGCCTCGCTAGGAAATCTGTTGTTTGTGGTCTTGATTTCCGCTGAATTGGTATTTTTTCCTTTAATTCTTCTGATATTGCGAATGCTTTTTTGCGACCTGCAACAGATGCGTTTTGCAGGCGAGTACAATTTATATCCGATTTTATGGGATCTTCATTTTCTGAATCCTCGTTTCGAAATCCATTTAGAACAAGTTCCGCGATAGACTGACTTTTACAAACTATTAAAGCTGAACAGTCAGAAATCCATCGAATATCGACCATTGAGTTACTGACGTTCAGAAGTTTGAAAATTTCGGTTTCCTTGAAATTGGCGTCGAAATTTCTTAATTCCAAAACATGCGATAAGCTTTCCAATGTAAGGTCATCGTTAATAAGCTCAAACGGTTCATATTGGTACAAGAAAGAATCGCTTTTTCTGCTCCTGAAATTTTGGAACGCATCTTCGTCAAAAGAATCTTCAAAGAAAACCGAATTCGATTCGTTCTTAATGACATTTGGTGACAAACTTTCTTCAGCAATTTCAGAATTGAGGCTCTGGTTTCTTCTATGAGGAGGAACATACGTATCTAACGATTTACGATGTTTCGATTTATCTTTGCACTTTGATTGCGAGTTCTTCAGGAAAACTGTGTTTTCTCTTAGGCTTCGTTTTTCCTCTGAGTTTCTGTTTTGTATCGTTGTCGATGCATTGACGTTTAATGCCTCCAAGCGGTCAGCTAATGTGAAAGTTACTTTTTCTTTTTCTTCTAATTTCATTAAAGGTTGTTCTTTGGGATGATTGAGGTGGTTTTCGGAAGCCGAAGTCAGTTCGACTGGGTTGCTGTGACATTTAATAAGTCCCTTTGAATTTAGAGGGGATTCCGATGTCATAGACGGGATTGATTTGACTGCTGTTTGACGATGAGCTCGTGCGCGGGGTGGAACATAGTATGCTTGTTCTGGTTTTTGAGCTAGAGACATTCGAATCAGATTACCGGGTTTCATAGAGCCTGAAAAACAACAAAATAAATTCCATCAGCCAAAATAAAAATTTGATTTCTTCATCATAAGACTCAATAACTCCCTTTAAATTAAATTAACTAATTAACATGATTTAAAATAAAATTGAAATTTTATATATCTTCAATGTTACAGAATCGGCTTCAGATCATCATCATCATCATTATCTCCAATTAAACTTCGAGAGAAGCTAGATAGTGATCCGGTGCGTGCCAACAGAGATACTCTCGCGATATCCCAGAAAATATCGTCATTTCCAAACTTTACTTCTCAGTCAACCCCATTGTCACGACAACAGCCATTTTTTAGCTATTACCTCCACACGTTGTTGGAATGCTGCATTTTTTATTGGCGTATTCGGTTCATAAAATGGGTTCACCGATATTTTGATGAAGTTTTCGTACACTTCTGCGAAAAAGTTCTTGATGTTCTCCTCTTTGCCCGTGTCACTGTGCAACAGTACAAACCGAATGCACGAAGCTGTAACGAAACCCGACACGTGGTACTGATTAAACTTGTCTACACTCTTCAGGTACATTTTGTCCGACCCCGGAGTCCATACCTGCAATAGAAAAGTAATTCATTAGAGCACTATTATAATAAACCCATGAACATTGCACTCAGTTAAAGCATAACGCAAAAGTCACCTACAACGAAACTAGACAAAAAGCAGAAGTAGATTCGGCCAGATTGCAAAGATTGATCAAGTGTTGTATATTCTAAAAATGGTTCAAAACTGACTAATTTGTTGACTTTTGGTAAGTTAATACATACCTTTTTCGAAAAGGATTTGAAATCAAAACAATGAATACTAAATAATTGTTTCAGTTGTTTTCATGCCAACAAAATAAAGTAATTACTTCAAAATAAGGTCATAAAAGAATAGTTGAACTCTCAATTTTCCTAATTCGCTCATCTTTTCCTCCATCTCAAAATATTCACATATTCTTTAGTGTTCACCTGCTCGTCGATCATGTCTAGAGATGCATGGGCTATCATTTGGTTGAGGTACCGCATCTCCCTCTTAGCGTGGCCGAACTCACTCTCATAAAGAGGGTTGTCTTTCCTGCCCACAATGGCAAAGTAGAACATCACACCCGCAGACCCAGACCCATCCGATTTGGACATCATTCAGCCACAACTCGCCCCACCCCTTCACAATCCGAGAACTCGTAACGCGACACTAACAAGCAATTAAACTGATACTTTTGTCCTTAGGTTCCGTACATTCCAACAATCTGAAAAATAATAAATTTGTTGAGCTATCAAACATCAAGTTTTTGACTAGAAATTTAATGAACCAAAACCAACACTTTTACACTGATCCTCATTCAACCAGAACAGACCACTAACTTTCTAGCTGAGTCAACAAAGCAGATTGATGCGCAAGTAGCATAGGATATTCCAACTAGAGTTATCATCGAAAAGTCGAATTGCAAAAAAAAGACAATAGAATACACGACTGAAAAAACTTTAATATGGATCTTCACTTGACATCGGATGAATTTATTTGAGGTCATCTGAATAGGCTGGAAAATTTACTGCAAGCAATAGTTCCTTTTCATTATTTCGAGAGTCGTCGGAACATCTTTTTTTTGTCAGTGAATGAATCGCGTCAACCCTAATAGTGCTATTGTACTAGCTATTGATTTAAGTCTTAAATTTCTTTTGACGAGGTGAAATTTAAACACAGAGGCGAAGCTGCGCTTCTCAAACACTTGCGAGAACACGACCAAAAAGCAGCTCTATCAAATAAAATAATAAAAAAAAGTAGAATTAAGCCTCGAATTAGCAAAAACTCGGCTACGTGTCGGATCCTATTCTGCGACTTAGCAACTTTGAGTCTCACGCACTAATCACTCAGCCACGGATGCTTCAAATGCCCAAAATAGCCACCAATAACGCAGCTACATATGCTAATAAATTGCCAATTCGATGCAGCAAAAGTAGCACCAAATACAAAAAGACACAATGTTACAAGTAAAAATTTAGAATATAACAAACAGACATCCACACCAACTTTGCCTGTATCAAGTTTGAAAGCATAAAGCCACCTTTAATATTTTCAAAAATATTGCGGGTTATATTGAGTTGGAGAACTTATTACCAATCATATGTCAAAGCACATGCTATCAAAAAGCTGTACAGGTGCCCCAAAAGTTGCACCAATATTTGCGACTTAGGTTGGATAAAAGAAAGTTCGTACTATTACATATCGCTTCGTAAGTGTAAACACAGAGGCGAAGACTGCCTTCGGATCACCTGCAACAAAGACACAGAGACTAACTAATTCTTAAAAAAATCCGCATTCGAAATCCAGCCTCAAGTCAAATATGCAACAACTAATATGTGACGTGAGCCCTGCTGAAAGTCATTCACGTTTTTTGCGCCATTTGAACTACTGTTATTGGAGAGCCTAGTTTACCTTTCTTTTGTTAAATGATTTTTAATTGAATTTAAAAACAAAGCAAAAGTCATACCACGAGCAATCTACCTTGATCGCGAACATCTTCTAAGACTTTTTCCTGAAGAAAAAACTAAAGCAACCACACGACCTAAATAAGCGATAAATTACTTCGTTCATTAAGGCTTAAACGGCAGAATACGGTTGTATGATCCTTGCCAATCGCAGTTTCGAGAAGGCTTAAAAATCATGACAAACTTTAATATAAATTCCATAATTTAGTTTAACAAAGCAATAAACATTAACTGCACCTCCTAAGGTTGGGTTTTTTTTTACAATTTTTGATTTGAATACAATTCGCATATACAGTTGATTTAAAACCACGTCTGGGACTTGGTATATTCAAGTTGAAGAGAATATCTGCTTCAATGATTAAAACTACAATTATTATTTCATGCATCAAGTTTTCATTATCTTCCATGATTCGATTTAATATTGACACCGAAAGTTTTGCTTTTATCCTCTTTCGCATATAAGCTCAATTACACTTGGCTCCATCGGCGCGGCATCCAGACATCGATGAGCGGCACTTGTCACTGCTTCTTCTAACAGACAGTTGACGATGAGCTCATCTGACACGAAGCGTTCTAGAAAGTTCTGCAGGTACGCACAGTCCACCTGCATCTGTTGGAGTCCAAACTTGCCAAAGGTGCGCACTCGCACACATTCAAGCAACGTCTAAAACAGATTAAGCAATCTTTAAGAATATTTTTAAAGGGTTCAATCAATTGAATGAACGTTTCTTCATTGAACCGTTCCAATTTAGCTATTGAAGCGTTTGTTTCAATTTCTTTTGCCAACAACAAAGTATCTATCATAAAATTTACACAAAAAAATCATCTTCGGGTATTAAAATCGCACTTCTTCCCTTCGAAAGTAATCAGTTCACTATATTTTATGCGCGGAGATCTGAAGCCAACCTTGAGACAAATTTTGACAATTCCAGTCATGATAGAGACTCTATTGAAGTCGACTGCCATGAAGACGTCTACCTTCTCTGAGAACAGCTTCTGGATATTCGTGATCAGAGAAGTGTTAAAGTTCCTGTAACAAGTCAAGAAGATTATGCTACTCTTTAGAACCTTACAGAAAAACAAGCATCCAAGTGAGCCATATGAATATTTTAAACAACTTCCTGAAAATATGAACTGATTCGGCTCTTTTTTCAAAGTTTTAAGACAATTTTCGACATGAAATTTCATAATTATATCATCATGATTTTTAAAATAGCCGTTGAAAACCTTTTTTAAAAAATCTGTTATTATAACGCGGCGCCGATACTTAGTCATTAAAAGATTGTGTCATGGTCTCTTATCTTACCCTGCGGCGTTATTGCTTTGTGTGTATGGGCCTCTATTTCTGCTTGCAGTGCCACTGACTGCAGACGAGGGAGAGAATGTGTTGGCTCCGAATCGAGAGTAGCTTCTCCTACCCGAATCACTGCTTCGCTCCTTCCTCTTGCCCTCCTCGTACAACTGACCCACCTGTAATAGACGTCAATTATTGAACCTATCTGAGTCGCTATAAACAATTGGCGACAAATATAGGTAAAACATAGCCAACAGAAATTCGGAAAAGTCTGAAAAAAGAAGGATACCGAAAAAAATGGATTGATATATAATAAAAGAAATATATAATCTCGAAAAAATATATGAAACTCTTTGAAAACATATGGAGCTAAAACTCTTTGAATGTGCACTTCTTTAATCTGATTTATGAGCACTGGATCCATGGGTTATATTTATTCCGGGAAATCTAAACATTGAAATCTAGATCGAAACTAGAAGTCGTTCACGTTTTTCGCGCTTATTCCTTTACCATAATGGGAGAGCGCGGTTTACCTAAATTTTATGAGATGAACTTGAATTGATCTCATATAGTGCATATACACCTAGAAACATTATTATATATTAATATGTATGAATACACTAGTGTAAAATATTAGAGCAATTTACAACGTTTTTCTGAAAAACTAAGAAAAACTCATGACAACCTATATAAGAGACTGAATTACATTCATCGACTCTTAAAAACTATCAATCCGATGAACTCATTGAAGAAAGCATGGTACCAGGAGGTGTTTCAAAGGAAAGACCAGAGAGGTTCAGAGGCACTTTTTTATTAACCCCAAAAATTACTTAATCCCAGAAACACCCATTTACACAGAGGCGACGCAAACACTAGCGAAAACACGACAAAAAATTAGTAGAAGTTCGGCTTCGTCTCGGATTCGATCTACGACCTAGAGATTATAAGTCTCACGCACTAATCACTCAGCCACGGACGCTTAATAAATCACAAATACTAGAAACAAATAAAGCATAGAACAAATGCTATTAAATTTTCAAAGGCTACAGATCGTGATAAAAAAGCCACCAAATAAGTGAACATTTTTAATGAACACCTTTATTTGCGAGTCGGTTAAGAAAAAAAAATAATGTTCGTACTAATACACTACGCTGCTCGTTAGTGTAAAAAAACCCATTGTTTAAAAACATCCATAGAGTGATCCAAAATGGCACTAAAAATAGACATGTTAAGCACTCAAAATACTTTCACCTGAAGAACTTCCATTCACCACAGCTTTTTTGAAAATAAACAAAACGAAAATAAAACGATGAAACAAAAACAAATTCCCAAATAAAACAAGATCCTAGATAAATAAAATTAAAACATGCAACAGGGGAAAAAACAAAGCCCGCAAACAGTTTATGGGTGTGGTCCTAAGCTCAAAAACCATGAACTAAGCTGAAAAATAAAAATTTTCATAGATGCAAAGCACGTATGGACATAGCCAACAGATGGCTGGAAAAGTCTATAAAAAAACGAGGAAACCAAAAAAATGGATTGAAACTTTTCGAATTTTGAAGAAAAAACAAGCCAACAGACAGTTGGAAAAGAGTCAATAAACGTAAATAAATAGAAAAAATTATGATTAGCCCTTTTTCGATAAAAATTAACCCAATTTGAGATCACTGGATCAACAAGTGTTTTTTCTATTTCGCTGGGTAATCTTAAAATTTAATTCCACTTTCGAAATTAGAAGTCGATCACGTTTTTCATGACCTTTACACTTTCGCATTTGGAGAGCGTTATTTGCTTACCTTTTACCAAATAAAGTTGAATTGAACTTAGAAATTGCATATAAACCTACAGTCGTTCATAAATGCATTATTATGTATAATGCACTTCTTAAGTTGAAGCTTTTACGACTTTTTCCTCAAAAAAATTAACGAAAAATCATCACTTCGTTCTTTTACACTTGAAAATCAAGTGAAGCCTAAAAACGCAAATGAGTCATAAAGAATTGATTCATTATTTGGCCTGACAACGCAAATAATGAATTAAATATTTGTTATTCTTGGATATTGTCGGAGACAACAGCCTGTGCCTAGCATCCGTTAGGAGCACGAAACAACCACGCAGCCAGAGAACCAAAAATGCCACCGTCTCAAGCCCAGCAGTCTCATGCGTTGGGCGAGTGGAAAAGCAATGGAAGAGACTCTGGAGAGAGTACACAACCCATCAATCTTTTCAAAAGCAAATACTTTCCAAACAACTTTATCGCCAGGAGTTACAAATTAGGAGTTATCTTACATATTTGTCCACACTGGTGATGTCCTCCACCACTCTCTTCATCACTGCCCTGACTGTTCTGGGCTCGATGGTGTTGATCCAGTCTCTCGTCTCCACACTCTTCCGGATCATAAGACTGATGTGCAGTCCCTGCACCTGGAAAAAACAACACAATTGAAAAATCACATGTCCAACATCCAATCCTAATGCTAATCTGCTACTTATTGCTTGGTCTCATCTAGCTTGCTATGCGTTATAGTATCCAGATAATTTCCGATGTAAACTATGAGCGAAATGCAATCATAGATAAGCTCAGCACAGGACGAAAAGCACAAACCTCGTTACGATTACGGTTGAAACAAGGAAAGAACGACTAACATCAGGATTCATGATCGACATGACTACAAGCCACAAGTGGAATATAAATCACAATATACGAATAACTATTACCTTGACGAAATGCGTCACTATCTTCTTGGCGGTTGCCTGTGCCATGTTGGATAGGGTAGCAACAGGTGTCAGTGATGACTTGTCTTTTATGCGGAACTGTTCGTCGGCTATGGACAACATATATGATATGCTCATCTGGTTGTAGTCCAGACAGAGTCGAGACATCACGGCCAGAATAGTGGGCGATTGAGACACTGTCTTCTGCTCCATTTTCTCACTCATTTCCTTAAACATCGAATGTTTTTAATCCTTCTTTGACATATTTTGCACAATAGGATATATTAAACGAGTATTTGTCTCAGATCAGATATGAAAAATACAGGGTAATGATTTTTGCAGAAATAAAGTGCTGGATTGCTATCAGCTATTTCTATCTCATAGAAATTTTACATGGAAGAAGTCTTCTTCTCACCTGGGCATGTTGCAGAACGAACTTGATGAATTTCACCACTACTCCTTCCCTGACGTCACTCTTGGAGAACTCGTCACTGAATTCCGGGCGACAGGCAAATGTCACGTCGGGAGCCGCAAAGGACTGAAACATCAACAGTATAAATCAAAGATTCAAAGAGATCAAAATCGAATGTTTCAGTTAAACAAGGATAGCCGGTTGCTATCCAAATAGCACAGAATGTTAAGACCAAACTGATATAAGAATGAACAATCTACGTTGACAAAAAAAAAATTCATTTCGCAATTTTATGTCTAAACTTTCTGTTATTTCTTTTTCTAGAAATGGCCATAACATTAGGACAAAATGTAGGAAACTTCACTTACTAAAGTTAAATTCTGACCTGTTTTTCTTAACACAGAAAACTTCTTTTGACATACTTTTTCAGAATCCAATTTACGACTAAGAGGGCTTTTATATGATTCCACATTTGACCCTATGATAATTTTCCTTAAGGTAGACAAAATCAGAACAAAACAAGGACAGCCGGTTACTATGCAGATGGCATAGAATGTTCCGACCGTAGTCTTACAAAAATACAACAAGTTTTTTCAAATTATTGCCGTTTTTTTCGGCGTGGTGTGATAAAAGGAGCTGAACAAAAAACTGGAGATTAGGTAAATTCGACAGTCATAGTAAAATAAGAAAAGTAAAAGACGTTCTTTTTTTCAGAAAAGTTACTTGAAAACTGAAAAAAAATCAACAATCGGTTTTTCTCGAAAATGGGAATTTTTTACAAAATTTTATTGTGGTTCGAATCACGACTGTAGGTGATTAAATATGATATATCACTCAACCCAGTCCAATGATTATTTTTGGTACCTGATTTTGCGTGAAAAAAAACACCCAAATACAAAGTTCCTCCCCATTTTCAATGGTCGGAACAAAGCACTTTTTGCATAACTTGTTTGCACTAATTTAAGGTAATTCAACTAATGTTTTCCGACCACTCAGAGTGGAGAGAAACTCTGTCTTCGAGTGTTTCAGTTTTTCAACTTTACTCTATTTTTTATTCCGGGAAAAACTAGGTACCACAGATAAAGTTCAGATAGTTCCAAGTGGTACATCATGCCAAAGCACTGTCAATCGTGACTCGATCCATATTTGGAAAAAAGTTTAAAAGTATGATTTTTACAATAATGGTTTTTGTTCGCATCTAATAATTCTACAAAAAAGACGCACTTAACCTGCTCTGACTCTATTATTCGATTATTCTAATCCAACTGCTTTTAACCTATTTGTCGTATCCTGTCCATAGCAGTGCCTATTTGACGTGTGCATAACCCATAGCATCATCGTGCCTTTCGAAAGTTAAAAAATTTTTATTAAAGGATTTTTAAAAAATTGAAAAAACTATCACAATATTTTGTGGTATTATTGGATGTGTGGTTCAAGCCTTCAGTGCTTTTGAACAGCAACCTGTAATTCGTTTTTCGAAATGATTTTATTTCATTGAGTGGTTATTGTTTTACGTAATATAAATTTAATTGTCTTTCCATTTCTCAAAGGTTCTAGACCCATGGTTGTTGTTGTTTTTCTTGTTGTTGTTGTAGCTACATCGATCGCTGCTTCGAGCTTCTGATTGAATTAGAGAGATTGATTATGTTTGAGCGATAGAGAGAGTTGAGGAAATTTCGTTCCTGTCTGGTCATGTTGGTTTCGTCTCGTTCAATCTATCACAGCAGCTCCCCAAGTGTCTCTAGCGGCAAAACCGACGTAGAAGGGGAACCACCTTTTCCACTGATAGCGTCTCTGTGCTGGTGTCGGCACCTTCTCTCTGTATAGCACACTCAAGAGGGAGGTTTCGGCGTGGTATTGAAAGCCGTTCTAGGGGCCAAGTTTTTCGGCGTCCGGAGAACCGAGTGAAACTCCATGCCTGGTTCAAGCGGGCAGTTTTTAGTTGGTGGGGAGGACCGAGAAAAACTCCCGTTACGTGGGGTTATGTGATAAGCTGCAGATGTTTGGCAGCTTCTTCGGGATTCTCCCTCTCGATGGTAAGTGAGGTTGGGTGTACCCGGCAGTTAAACAGATGATCGGTGGTGTGTGGTCCTATGTAGCAACTTGGGCAGACATCGGGTATATTGCTGTTAAGCCTGTGGTGGTAGCTGAGGTGAGTTGAGTATCCGAATCGCAGCTGTGAAAGTGTGCATCAAGTTTTCCGGTCAAGTTTGCTTTCATTTGGAGATAAAGTTAGAGGTATTCTACCAAGTAGCTTAGACTTTTCGTTAAGAAAATTTCATACTTCTGTTGTGTGAAGGTTTTTGATCCCGTTAACATATTCAAGATTTGAGACGTTCTCCTAGTTTTCGTTAAGCAAATGTTCAATGTCAGGTTTAAACTTATGTTCGAGGTTTGTCTGATGTTCAGATTAAAACCTTTGTAGTTAGCAATGTGGTGGTCAGCTCTGTGCTCCTAGTAGCACCAGAGAAGAAACTGTTTAGAAAGCATTTCATTGTGTTTTTTAACCGGTAGAATTTTAGTTTCATCATGCAAATGTGTTATGTCACTCATTCTTAGGCATCGCGTAGTTGTTCTTAAGGCGTTGTTTTACTTTACTTGTAAACGTTGCCAGTTGGTGTAGCTAAGTGTGGGGGTCCAAATTGGAGCTGCGTAGTTCAGAACACTCCTTCCTATTACATTGTAAGTTACGCTGAATGTTTCTTTGGAGCAACCCCAAGTAGTGCCGGCAAGTTTTTTGACCCATGGTGAACTAATCCACCATCAAAATGCAGACTCATCTTATTATTTAAGTATAAACATTATATTCAACCTACATGTAAAGTTGTGAGCACTGCCTTCAATTTCTCCACCACATTTTGTTCCAAAGTTGCCAGCATGTCAGAAAGAGTGATGCTGCCTCCGGCTGACGATCCAGAGGGTCCCACTCTTCCGCCCGCAGACTGAACTGATGCCACGATGTGTTTGGGCGAATGAGACTGCTGTTGCTGCACTATCTGCTGGCGAAGAGTCAGAACTCCGTCTGCGAACAAAACTGAGGTCAAAAGAAATGGTTTCAGGCTAGAATTTTGAAGGATTTCATGCAATACAACTGATTTTGTTCATCAGAACTTAGATTTTCTTCTAATTAAAGAATTTAGCGGCTTTAATTTAGCGTCCCATTGGAGTTCAAGATAACATTTCAGCGTCACCAGCAGCTTTGATGTCCATTTAAAAAGGCAACTTAAGTTAATATAACCGTTCACTCCAATTTCAAAGCCGGAGTGTTTCTTCGAAAAGTCACATTTACGTGCAAAACTTCTTTTTACACTAGAATAATTCCGAGAGTGCCTAAAAAGGAACTTGAGTTTTCAAACCGAGGAAGTACTGCTGAAGTATCTGGTAGTATCTATTGCACATGGCTTTGCCCGCGTGACATATGAGCGCCAGACTGCGTTTTCCCACTTCCAGGGTCGAGATCAGTTTGTCCAGGGGCACAATTCGCCTGTAGAACCTATCCAAGGCCCGAACCAGGAACACAGTGCTGCCCAGCTCTACCTAAATGACAAATTAAAACTTTAGACGTTCAAACTGGAAGTCTTCGTACACAGGCGGTGAAGATGAGGGAGACGTTCGCTACAAAGTTTTTCTCATTCACAGTGAAGTTGGCTTCGTACATCATGCTAAGCAACTTATTAAATGCAAAATGTGCTTTACTATAATTGATTTACTAGGGATGAGTACCAGTCATTTGTAATGCAGAAAACGGTTCGAAATTTTTCGAAACTACAACTGCCATTCACATCAAATTTCATTTTGCTTCAATGACTAAAAAGGGTTTAAATTCTGTTTCAAGGGAAGAATATTCATTTGATCAGGTACGGACGTCACGATTTTAACATCCTGTTCCTGGTCATTGACCTTGAGGATAAATAACTTTTTTGATAATTATGCCATAAATTCAATAATCTCAACTGGGTCTGGACACGAAATGAAACTTCGAACATTATTCAAGACCAAACAGACAAACACTAGATGCAATTGAACAACTGCTCTCTATGGTGTTTTATTTCGATGCAAGAACATTTCAACAAACTAGGGTGTAACACAACCATCAAACTTACGTCTTCTTTTCCACATAATTCCGACAACTGAAATTTGGAGAAGACATATAAAACATAGGTTCAAAACAGGTACGTTATAACCAGCATAACACAAAAAATGCTGCGCTGATTATCGAACACTGGAGATCATTTGAAAGTCGAAATTTGAATGTTAATAAATAAAAATAAGTAACCTATTGAACAACTTATAAGAATTCGTTAATGACAGCCAGTTTATTCTTTTACTAAATTGACATAAAGGGCAAATAATCCATCACCACAACCAAAACTAAAGAGAAGTCATGAAAACTCAGAAAATCTTTCTTTATTAAAAATCTACGATTTACAGTTTCTATGATTTCTATGAATTACCACTGATAGTGAACGTCAAAACTTCTATGATTTACCAGTCAACGTCAACGTCATTACATCAAATTTCGACTTACTTCAAATTCAATTCTCTGGCGAATCAAGTCGATATATCTCTCCAAATTGGACTGAGCGAACTCATTCAGCTGATTAGTCATCTCGGTCAAAACATCCCCAGATGATCTGAATAACATTAACTTAATTACCTAGCTACTAAGATTTTTTTACTATTATATTAAATTTTCCTTGCGATTTGCTCAAGCATGTGATAAATACCATTTCTTGAATCTTTTCTGAACAAAAAAATCCGCAATTTGAAAACTTTTTTAAAAATTTTTAAATCATGCGCGACGCAATTAACAAGAGCATTAGCTGATTTAAAATTATTAAAAGTGCAGCTCAAATGATTTCACTTAGATCGTTGATCTATTGTTTCATTTTCTTGAGAAGGAAGGTTTGACAGGCTTACGTCTTCATGAACAAGTTCTGGTAGGTTGAGATGACCAGCGATATATTGGTGACGAATCCATTGCAACCTATGTCGACATACTCCAAAACATCAATGTACAGTCCTGACATATCCTCCTTGAACTCATTCCCACCTCCTCCTTTCTTTCCCTCCTTCTCTGATTCCTCACCGCCCGGAAGTTTCGACTCGTCTTTTTGAGCTTTCGTTTTTTCACTGTCCGTTGTTTGCTCTTGACTTGGAGATGTATTCTGGGGGATTATTCTCTTCACTTGACCTGTGAGTTGAGCTAGATCACCATCCAGCTTTTCTTGCGCACTGAAACATTACTTGAGACACTATCTCAAATAACGGAATTTATTGTCAGCCGACTACAACTTTTTCCAAAATGAAACCTTGACTCTGAAGCCTCTATATTGACAAATGAAAACGTACAGCATTGAATTAACTTCGACAATTAATTTTCCTTCAGGAAATTTTTAATTAACTTGCAATGTTCGAGTTTTTTTAATGGTCGTTGAGAAACTTCACCAGGGGCACAACAACGGTTCTGTGAAGAGCTGAAAAGTATGTTAGTCTTTTCCATAGTGGATAAATCATCTTCAAAAAAGCCCATTTTCATACACAGAGGCAAAGCGGAGCTTCACACCACTCGCGATACAACACAAAAAAAACATATGACCAAAACAAATAAAAAAAGTTGGAAAAAACCTTGTCTACGAAAATTTAAATGTTTATATGTCTCGATAGAAATTCATTTTTGTCAAACATGCCAGAACATAAAATTAGCAACGAAGCAAAATTTATGAAGAGGAAACAAAGCCGACAATCTTTGAGCAGACACCAACTGAACCAAAAAAATATGAAAAAAAAAATTATTTCAAGTCCACCATGAAAATAGAAAGAAAAACACTTGCACTTGAAACTGCAATGTAAATTGCTAGCAGCACAAGTATAATCCGTTATCTGCCAACTTAGCCGGCAAAATTAGAACAGACAAACAGAAGTCCGACTATTCAACTTTTCTCGAATTTTTTGTCAATTTCATTGATGCTGAAAAAAAACATAGTCCGGGCAGGATTGGAACCCCGGCCAGAATTCGAAAATAAGAGAAGAAGAGACTCAATCCCAGGACTCGAAGAGATGTGAAAAAAAGAATGCGTAAGAAAAGTCTAGTTCCCGATTACAAGACACATGCTCTCGCAAGTGTAAATATCAGAGAAATAAAAAACCCTTTGAGCTATTGAGATTTAACTGCTACCAAAATTTCGTCTTAACATAGTTTATACTACTCACTGTAGCAAATACTGAGCGCATAGTTTAGACGGAGATTGTCCTAGTTCCAATAGCAACTCCACAGCCTGTGACAGTTGTCTGGGTGACACACTTCTTTCGCCCAGTTGTGCTTCTAGTTTACTCACTAGACCAACTATGATTTCATCACATTCTTCTCTGATTGCTCGAAACGACGAGATGTGCTCGTACTTTTCAAGGATCTTCGAAGACTTCGTGTAGTATCTGCAAAAATAGAATATTTGAAAATTTCAACCTTCGTTTTTACAATATTTTTCAATAGTTCAAAAAGTCCAACTTTCAAGCAATTTTAAATTTTTCAGTCGAAATCAATTCTGATAGTGGGTAGGGTTCCCGAGACTAACCTTACCTTTTTTCTATAGGTTGCTGATTTTTTGAGTTCTACCTGAAATTCCCCTCCTCCTATACCATACTTTCACTCTAAACTCTAACCTAACTGCTTGATTGTAAGCTCTAACGTCAATACAGTTTGATATCCTCGACGGCAATTCGAACAGCAACTTCAGCTTCTTCAACATCCGGTGCACCCCACTCAATTTCTGGATCTGGTCTCTTCCAGTGTGGAGAGACTGGTCTATGCTCTGGGAGTGCCTCCCGATTGCACCCATACTCTCTCGCAACTCAGACATTTCCTCTTCCATCTTATGGAAATCGGTCTTCATTTTCTTGATAGTATCCGTAGCCGAGATGAACTTGTTGTAGTTTTCGTACACTAGTGTTTGCATGTCATTATCTAGCAGCCGGATTTCTGAAAAACAGCATTTTTTCAAAGCACAAAGCTCAAAAACTCAGCTCACATGTTTTCGAGTACGAATATCGGTTTTCTTGTTAATCAGCATCATAATTTTCAAACAACTGTAAGCGCAGTGCAAAACAGAGGCAAAAACTGAAATGAATAATGAATCATCTTAGTATTTCAATCCTTTACCCAACAAACCAGTCAGTATTAACTCAAAACTCACGTCTGACCATCTCGTGTTCAGTGTCCATTAGCTCAGTCAGACTCTTTTCTTTCTTGATCTTATTCAAATACAGATCTGGACTGAACGCAGAAGAGTCCAAATCGCATGGGTCTAGAGATTCCGAGGCCTTTACGGCTACAGCGTCGCTTCTAACTTCTGATCCACTTGCGTTCTCCGGTGAGTCAGTAGGCGAAGTTGCCGCAAGCCCATAGTACGACGCCAGCATTCCGCGATGACGACGGCCATCAGATCCCGTCGCGGATCCACCAGCAGGTGATGAAGCCATATATTTTTTATTACAAACCAATCTGACAATTTACTACTAAATTACCATTTCGATCTGGAAGGCAGCTAAATGATAATGGACTGGCCTATACTATGTACAAGCAAATTGATTTTCATTGAGTTCCAGTAAAATTTGTTTCATTTAGATTTTAAAATTTTCGATTTAATTCGTTCTACACTTTTCTGAATTTAAACATTTATGATTATGTATTACTTAGAGCACCGTATTTTTGAGTTCTTCAAGCAGTTTTAACCCATTGCCCCAACAATTCTCTTGCCATGACCACACATCGCTTCAACAAAAAGAAAGAACTAATCGAGAAAAACAAAGCCAAAACCTTTTCATTCATCGTATGGAAGTAAAGCGCCGTTACAGTCAACATAAATACGCAGAACAAACAATAAAACCCGGCAAATAAGCGGCGCAATAATTTACACAAGCTTGTCGGCAAAATAACAGGGTATAGCAACAAAATTGCAAAACTAAGCAGGAATGTGTGCCCCGATATGTCAAAGCCTTCAACCCAGTAGCCTCCGTCTAACATGCATGAAGACTCTTCTCCGATATGATCCAAACTTTCTGATGGAAGATCGTAAGCAGCTAAGCATTTCTCTGTAGCTCTTTTAATTAAGACGAAAAAGCGCGTTAAACAAAACCAGTTAGTTGTATAAACAGCTACCAAAATTACAGATTGAAAAATCTTGTCAAAGTTCAGTAAAAAATAACAGATCATAGTCAGAAGCCATCCCAGAGAACGCACAACATCATTTCCAGCCATAACAGTGGACGGCAATGTTTCAGCAGCTAAGCAATTTTGTCCAAAATACGATAGCAAAACGACAAGTAACGAAACAGCAATCGCAGCTCCAACATCTTGGCACATTATGTCTGAAATCAGATTTCTAAAAACACCTGCTAGTCAAAAATGCTACAAAACTTTGCTTCTTTAACTATTTCTAAACGTTTAACAAATATAAATTTTTTCCAATGATCCGAATTAATTTTTCGGCATAGCGATTAATTGCAGCAGGAGAAAAACTGTCTGAAATAGAAGAAGCGACTTTTAGTCGCAACACTCTTTGGCTTTCCATTTTCCTAGCCACTACCAAGAAAAAAAGATTTTGTACTCCAGGCAACGATTTTACCAGGTTGGGATTGAGGACCACGTGGGTTTGAAATTGGGTAGTTACCCAATTTCAACACAGAGGCAAGTAGAATTTTTTTATCTGTTAGAAAATCTGAAAATTAGAATTAACTTTCGAAACTTCGTGACCTTTACACTTCTGCTGGCCGATAAAGGCGTTTGCCTTATCTTTAACTTTGCTTCTTTAACTATTTCTAAACTTTTAACAAATATAAATTTTTTCCAATGATCCGAATTAATTTTTCGGCATAGCGATTAATTGCAGCAGGAGAAAAACTGTCTGAAATAGAAGAAGCGACTTTTAGTCGCAACACTCTTTGGCAAAGCCAGAGCCAAAGAGTGTTGCGACTAAAAGTCGCTTCTTCTATTTCAGACAGTTTTTCTCCTGCTGCAATTAATCGCTATGCCTGAAAAAAAAAACGAAAATAAAATCATTAGAGTTCTTATATTAATATTAATATAAGAACTCTAATGATTTTATTTTCTTTTTTTTTTCAGGAAAATTTGTTCACGCTCGTTTAATTTTTCGAGATCTGATTTTTTTTTACAAATTTAGTTTTTTTTTTCAGTTAAAGATAAGGCAAACGCCTTTATCGGCCAGCAGAAGTGTAAAGGTCACGAAGTTTCGAAAGTTAATTCTAATTTTCAGATTTTCTAACAGATAAAAAACTCAACTTTTCATCCAGTTTTTTTTTCAAAATTAGTTAATTTCATCAAACTAGTATCAATCATAATTTGTTCTTGAAAAGAGCTTCAGGGCCATACATTGTTACTTTTACAAGTCAGGTTTTTTAATGTTTTCTTATGTTCATTGATCCTTTTCCATCTGTCTGTTGGCTATGTTTTGACGTTTGGTATGCTTGCTAACTATCCAATTTCAAACCCACGTGGTCCTCAATCCCAACCTGGTAAAATCGTTGCCTGGAGCACAAAATCTTTTCTTGGTAGTGGCTAGGAAAATGGAAAGCCAAAGAGTGTTGCGACTAAAAGTCGCTTCTTCTATTTCAGACAGTTTTTCGCCCGACAGTTTTTCAGACTCTAATATATGATAAGTCTTATCATATATTAGAGTCTGAACCACGGATCTATGTAAGGGAATCGAAAAATATGCAATGGTATCGAATAGCCGAAAAATTCGAAATTTTACAACACAGAGCCAAAGAGGAGCTTCGCAACACTCCCAATTCCACAAAAACAGCATTGCAAGCTGGCAGACAGAAAAAGAAAGGAAGCGACTAAGTCCAACGTATACGGAAACATTTTCAAAGGAATCACAACTAAAAAAACTTCAAAATGTTGTCTGGAATGATGTTCTTTTTTCCAAAAACACATCAAAAACATTCGACGGCGTTTATTGAAAATTCAAATTAACGTACTGTGAAATCCGGTGGAACACATACAAATTATTGATCCCTCGAACCACCCAATATTAAGTTTGTAAGCCGATAAAATACAAGACGACATCATTTAGGCCGAAACAATTTTTAAGTAAAAAAAAGATAAAATCCGAAGTCAAGATTAGTAGAATTACAAATTGCAGGACTACAAAAAAGCAACTAAAAAAAACAGCCGAGAAAAAATCTACGATGCGGCAACTAAGCCGACAAAACAAGCAAACAAAAATCAGACAGTTTTTTTTGAAACGGAAAATATCCCGTTAAAAAAACGGCCCTGGTCATATTTGAACCCAAGACCTTAGCCGTCCCAGTCGTAATCGTTACCTCCAGACTATGTGTCGGAGACGCTTAGAAAAAAAAACATTTTTTTTTGAACCAAGATACCAAGTGAATCAAGTGATTCTGTTAACACACATATAGCATTGCAAGCAAGCAGACAGAAAATCAAACAAAAGTTACTAAGTCGAAAAAGATTTAGAACATTTCGAAAAAAACCATAACAACAAAACTTTCAGAAACTTGTCTGAAATGATATTCATTATGACAAAAAGACGATAACTGGCAGACAGACACAAAAATTGACGGGCAACTAAAAGTTGATTAGACTCCCGTTGAGCAAAATTATTTTCAATTGAAAAACTTTTGAAAGTTCTGAAATCCAAATTTTTACGCCCCCCTCTCTGGCAACACACAAAAGCTTTATCTAGTTTTCCTTTGAAGGGACGCTCAACTAGTTCACTTACTCGATAAAACATAAGCAAAAACACTTGAAGGCAATCAAACCAGCAAAAAAACGGAAAAACTACAAACTTAGTAAGTTATTAAATTACAGTTACAAATCAAAACTATTTCAGTTATAGTAAAAATTTCTTATAGCCTAGTAAAATCCGTAGCAAATATAAACAGATACACAACAGGTCGACAATTTTTCGAAAAAAAATTCCTTTTTGAAAAGAAGTTCTGGCCAGATTCGAACACGCGACCTTTACCACCTCAGGCGTAGTACTTTTCATAAAAACCATGTGTGTCTGGAAACATAAAAAAAAGTTTGATTTTGATGTGAGCCAAGCTTTCATTTGTTTTTCTATTATATCATGTAAACAAGAAAATTCTGTGAGGCGACAACTAAGCCGACAAAAAAATCAGACTAACGAATTTTGAAACCAAATATTTTGTCTTCAAAAACTTAAGACATTACTTCTTAAAAGAACTGCCAGTCGTAACAATAGACCGGTAGTTTAACTTAAAATCGCACGTATGCACGTGAATGAAGTCAAGTGATTCATTTGATTTTGTTAAACAAGTTTATCACCCGAAAAAAAGTATATTCCAGTTTGATAACGCTTGCTTATTGCAAGCGTCAGAAAGAACAGGGCCAATTTTCAAATCAAAGCTAAAAATAATCTCTGAGAGAAGCGCTATAACCCGATTAACGATAACATTCAGCCAAACAACTTCGTTTTTACACAGAGGCGAAGCTGTGTTTCGCAAACACCAGCGAGAACACAAGCAAAGGCAGCTGTAAAAATGCAAAAAAAAACCTAGTAAAAAGCCTTGAATCAGTAAAAACTCGGCTGCCTCTAGAATTTGATCTAAGACCAGAAGATTATGAGTTTCACGCACTTTCCGCTCAGCTACGGACGCTTAAAAATTCACTAGCCAAAAATAAAGCAGAGAACAGATGCTATGAAATTTCCAATGCTACAGATTGTGATTTTACGATGAGCGCCACGAAAAAATAAAACACTTTAATTTGCGAGTTAGGTTAGAAAAACAAGAAGGTTCGTACTAACACTCGCAAGCTTGCTAATGTAAATAACTTACAAACCACTTCTTAAAAAGATGCACACAAACCCCGTATTAAATGCAATCAATGACGCGCCCAACACCAAAGTTCTCCCGTTGCGTCCGTTTAACATTTCCTCGACTGGGGAACTGCTCTCTCGTTCAACACGGTGCATGTTAGCACAGCTCAGACCGGCTACTTTCCCTTTTTAAACACCCATCTTAATAGAAAAGACCCCAATGTACCCCCAAACTGTCCCCACTATCCGTCTCCCCGTACTACTCTCTACCTTTTTAACTGCCCCTCAAACCTGATTTAATTAAACCGAATAGATCTGGGGCTACAGCCGGATGAAGTAGCAATGCTCCTTAGACTCAAGCCAAGCTCGCATGGCACGCCCCTTGTGGGCAATTAACAACAGCAATAAGCAAAAAAAAACAGAACTCTAAAATAGCGGTCTGTGTCGTCTCATGCTCAGGTGATACCAATACGCAGAATTATTATTCAATTTAAATATACAAAAAAGCAAGTAGAATACGGGTAACTTTTTACAAGCGTAATCTCTGAACAAGGTTCTTGACGGGAAATATAGTCTAGTACCCGGTTGCAATGCTCTTGCTTATTGCAAGGTGATGATTAAATTAACCTGATCCTAAATGTAATTGGCAAGGTTTAGCAATAGGCAAAAAATATCCCACATTTAGCAATAGTCAAAAATTATCCTAAATGCCAGGCATGAAAAACCACAATTTAGTTTGATGGCTGCAAAAATGTGATATGTATCAACGTTTGTAGTTGCGGATACCAGTCCCGCAAAATCTCAATCTTTTTAAACATAAATCACTAAAACTTTAATATTATGTAGAGAGAAGAAGAAGAAGAAATGTTAATTAAGTTATAAACACATATAACTTATGAATACATGACACTTAACAAAATTAAAGATTGTAAAGGTTGCATCTAGTGGCGCGCTGGGGGAAAAGTTTCATGTGTTTTTCTAGTTTCTGATATTGTGCATGTGCCGTTCTATTTCTCAGGCGGCTTGTGGAATAGTCTTCACGTTGAGGCACGAGATGGTGTAAAATATGGAAGTTGTTTTTTCCTGCTTGTTGAAGTAGGCTGGCATCCGTTCTTTCAATTAGTGAGTCGATAGGATTAAATTTTCTAATGATACCAAGTTTTATTGCCTTTTCTTGAACACGGTCAATGGATTTTAGCGTAGTTATGTTTGCGCAAGCCCAAACTGGTAAGGCATAAGTTATTTGGCTCTCTATTAGATACTCGTAAATATGTTCCAATTCTGATAGTTTCATTCCAAAACTTTTGAGTCTTGACAGAAGATAACATGAACTTGGTAACTTTTTACACAAATTGTTGATATGTGGCTGGAATGTGAGTTTCTAATCGAATGTAACTCCAAGTATTTTCATTTCTTCGACATCTTCAACGTTACTCAAGGCTGAGGGTGAACATTGAGAGGGCGAGCTGTGTATTGTCATAATTTTTGACTTCTTATCGTTGACGAGAAAATCGTTATCTGAACACCATTGTTTGATATGCTGCATCGCGTTTCTAGAATCATCTTGCGATCCATAAACTGGTATGATAGTATAGGAGTCATCAGCAAACTTTATCATTTCAGCCGTATTTACTGGTTCCATATCTAATTTTGACGTAGCGATATTAAACAAGATCGGCCCTAAAACTGTGCCTTGTGGGACACCTTGACTTATGGTTGCGGTTCGAGATTTTCTGTTGTTGCATTCGGTAAAAACTAATCTGTTTTTTAGAAAGCTAGCAACCCAATTTAGGTAAAAGGGTTTATTTCTGGTGTGATTTGGCTCAATTTTTCTATGACAATGTGGTGTTGGACCCTGTCAAATGCTTTACTGAGGTCGACAGACAAAATTCTCACAGAGTCGGCTTTGGTCTTCTGAAAAGTCGCTGTTTGTTGTTGTAACGAAATCATTGCTGTTGTCGTCGACGCATGTTTTCTAAAACCATGTTGGTTTCTGGGCAGATAGTAGTTGTACTGTTCTGATACGAAGCAATTCTTTATCATTCTCTCGAAAAACCGGGAAATAACTGGAGTGATGGAGACTGGGCGGTAGTCGGAAGCTTCTGATGGTTTTTTGCCTTTGGGGATAGGGAATATTCTGGATCGTTTCATCAGACTGGGAACTATATTTGTTTCTAGAGATCTGTTGAAAATTTTCATGACCGGTTCTGCTAGGGAATGTGCGTTTTCGCTCCATACCCAAAAAGGTATTTCATCGGGTCCACATGCTGTTTTCCGGATTCTTTTGAGGCCTTCATATATTTGATTCAAGTTGAAAGAAGGTGTTTCTTTGTGTTGTGTCACTCACGATAGGTTCTCTATAATTTGTGGCTGTACAAATTTCGGCAAAGTAGTCATTCAGTGAATCAGGGTCACCCTTACTACTTTGACCCATATCTTTTCTACCCATAAGGAAGTTAACTTCTTTCCACCATGCTTCTGATCCTCGTTTATTACCAGTCAGGTTATTCTTGATTTCGCCTTTAACTGCCAGTTCTATTGAGTCGATGTTCCTTCCCTTTTTCTTCAACTTGTATTTTTTTATTCAAGAGGCACTTGAGTTTAGCTGTCATCAAACTGGGGTCTTTGTTAGAAAGTCGAACTTTTTTCTTGGGACAATAAACATCTAATAGATCAAGTAGAGTTCTGTGAAGTATGTTGAAAGCTTGTTCAGCATCGCAGTAGTCCAGGTTCTCTAAATTAAGCTTGTGTAATTGCAACCCAAGACGCATTCTTTCAGGAGTGCCCGTTTTTCGTATAGTTATCTTGGTTCTGTGGTTGGTTTCAGTCGTTGGTTCGCAAAACACTGCCATATGATCCGATAAGAGTAAACTGTTCAGTGTTTGTGGCTCTTTATACGTATTTGGGTCACTGCAAAGTATTTTGTCCAGTTGGTTTTGATCTCTCGTAGGGGGGCTTTTAAGTAGGTACAAGTCCGAGTAGTCTGTGAGAAGATTATGGTTAAACTTGTTCAAGTCTCCTGCTAATATGAAGGTGTTGTTCGGGTACTTTGTTTGCAATTCTTCACGCACATTAAGGATATATTCAGCAAAAGCGTTGTCTCTTTTTGAGTCCGGCGGGTAGTAGGCGCATCCAACTATAGTCGTCATATACGATCCGTTGTATTTCAACCAAATTACTTCAGCAAACGCGTCGATTGGGTCGGTGAACTTCGGGTTGTAAGGCACTGCGTTGAGTTCTTTTCTGGAGTAGATACATACACCACCGGCCCTCGTTTTTTGGCAAGCTTCGAAGTTTCTGTTCATTCTGAACAAGTCACAGCCATGGAAGTTTAAAGTGTCATCAGTAATTGTTTCATTGAGCCAGGTTTCTGTAATCAGGCACAAATCGGGGTTCAGTCGAGTAAGGTCTACAGTAAGATTGGCGAGTCCGTTTGGTTTTTTCAGTGATCTGGCATTGAGAAGTAGTAATGAAGGGGCCCTGCATAGTCATACAGGGACTGCTTCACCATCCAAAAATAGAGTCAGGTTCCGGACTTCGATTCTTTTCCGATCTGTTTTAGCGTCAATGAGTTCGCGTCGTTTCTTCAGAACTTTTCTTTCCAATAATCTTTCTTCTTTTGAGAGGTCTGGTGATATCCATATGTCGGAAGAAGTGCCAAGTTTATCCATCATAGCCTTTGAGACTAGTAGTTCAGCGTCACTGCGGGTAGTGAGTTCCACTATCATCATTCGATGACGTTGTTTATCAAGATTTCCAGCTCTGATAACGCTGTTAACCTTGAGTTCAGGAAAACCAAGCTTCGATGCAACATCTTTGAGTTTTTCATATCATCAGCTTTTCTGTGATAAACATTTTCTTCTGTACTCTCCTCAATGCCTGTAACCCGGATGGATCGTTTTGTTATCTCTGTCTGCACTGATTGGGGTTGGTTGAGAGAATGATTTTCTTTTGTCATGTTGTCCAGTTGTGCTTTAACTTCGTTCAGTTGCGCAGATATTGTTTCAACTTGTTTTTGGATAATGGGGGAGCAGTCTGGTTTTTCAGTTTGAGTAATGAGGCAAGGTTCACAAAACCTTTCACTCTTCCAATATGGGTAACAGCTTGAGCTGGTACTCCGGAGCATAGTTGATGAAACCAAATCTTGCATGCAAAACATTGGATAGTATTGGTTTTGCATTCTTCAGCGCATGCGCCACATGGGTACTTTGCGGTGTTTTTTCTTTCTTTGTTAGTCATTTCGATAAACTCCAGTCCGATAGTAAATAACAGAATACGATAGAAGTCGATAGCAGATGGCTGGTCGGAACGCACAACACGGCGCGTTCAGAATTCCATTGGATCTGGAACACACTATTTAATAAGTTTATCACAACAATTAGGCTCAATAAGGTTTCATAATGTTTCGATAAAGGGTACTAGCGTTTAACGCACCTTCGGTGCTTCGAAATTTTTCGACAACTCAGTAAAAACCGCATATATTGGAAACAACATCTGCAAACTTTTAGTGTACTCTGACTGCACCCAATTACAAACTTTAATTTTTTTAATTCCCATTTTAAAAACGTCATCTCAAAAACTTAATGGGTCTCTGGAGAAATTTGGAGGCCAGATTTGCAACCACTGAGAGTCCCTGAGAGCACCCTACTATAGGGTAAGGAATCCAAAATTTTGTGAACTTTTTTAAACCTAAGTTTCCCGGAAAAAAAAATGAAAAAAAAAACGTCTTATCTCGGAAACTAAAAGGATTTGAGCTTTCATATTAAGAGGCAAGATTTGAGACGCCTGGGTGTACGCTGACAATAAGGCTGTATCTTCATCAAGCTGGTAGTTTCAAATTTTTTGAATTTCTTTGTAGATAAGTTCTTTGAGAAATTTTGAAAAAATCAAAAATTCACATCTCGTAAACTAAAAGCAGTTGAGCAGTCGCGTTTATCATTTGCATGTGGCAAGATTTGCAACTCTTTAGAGTACCCTGACAACACCGAACTAGTGTTGGGAATTTCAAATTTCGAAAAAAAATTAATTTCAACTTTCTGAAAACTTTGAAAAAATCACAAAAAACGTCACATCTCGAAAACTACAAAGAATTGGGCAGTCATATTTGGAGGCAAGATTCGCAATCCTTGAGAGTACTCTGACAGGACCTAACTACAGGGTTGGGAATTTCAGATGTTAAAAGAATAATAGTAATTTAAGTTTTCTGAAAATTTATGAAAAAAATCACAAAAAACGTCATATTCAAAAACTACTAAAATTTGAGCAGTCACACTTGGAGGCAAAATTCGCAATCTTTGAGAGTACTTTGACACGACCTAACTACAGGGTTGGGAATTTCAGATTTTTAAAAACTTATAATAATTTAAGTTTTCTGAAAATTTTTTGAAAAAATCACAAAAAACGTCATATCTAGAAAAAAAACTACAAAAAATTGAGCAGTCATATTTGGAGGCAAGAGTAGCAATCTTTAAGATTACTCTGACAGGACCCAACTACAGGGTTGGGAATTTCAGATTCTGCAAAAAAAAATTAATGTAAGTTTTCTGAAATTATTTTTGAAAAAATCACAAAAAACGTCATATCTCGAAAACTACAAGGATTTGAACAGTGATATTTGGAGGCAAGATTTGTTACTCCTTAGAGTACTCTGGCAGCACCCAACTACAAGGTTGGGAATTTCAAATTTGGAGAAATAATTAATTAAAATTTTCTGAAAATTTTTGAAAAAATCACAAAAAACATCATATCTCGAAAACTACAACGATTTGAGCAATCATATTTGGAGGCAAGATTCGCGATCCTTGATAGTACTCTGACAGTACCCAACTTCAGGGTTGGGAATTTCAGATTTTAAAAAAACAATAATCATTCAAGTTTTCTGAAAATTTTTGAAAAAATTACAAAAACCGTCATATCTCGAAAACTACAAGGATTTGAACAGTCATATTTGGAGGCAAGATTTGTAACTCCTTAGAGTACTCTGACAGCGCCCAACTACAGGGTTGGGAACTTCGAGTTTTTTAAATTATTTTGTTATTTGAAATTTCAAAAATCTCAAAAATCGTCTTATCTCGTTAGCTAAAATGAAAATGATTCGGGCATTCAAAATTGGAGGCCAAATTCGCAACCCCTAATTCGATATTGGGCTGCTTAATTTAAACTCGGTAAAATAACCACTAAAAGCAAATTGGAAAATCGAAAAAAATTCTTAACCATTGCAATATACGATATAGCTTAAACATGCAAAAATAATACGTTTCGATATTGGGCTGCTTAATTTAAACTCGGTAAAACAACCACTAAAATCAAATTGGAAAATCGAAAAAATTCTTGACCATTGCAATATACGATATAGCTTAAACATGCAAAAATAATACGTTGAAGAAGCTTAAACATGGCGAGATAGTGAAGCCCGCATTTAAATATATAATAATAGATAGATTGGAAAATCGAAAAAAAATTCTTAACCATTGCAATATACGATATAGCTTAAACATGCAAAAATAATACGTTGAAAAAGCTTAAACATGGCGAGATAGTGAAGCCCGCATTTAAATATATAATAGATTAGGCTTTTTGCAGCGAAATATATGAAGTTATTTTCTCGAGTTTTATTTTAAAAAATTAAACTAAGTGTAGAACTTTTGAATTATTGAAAACAAAACAGACCTGAACCCGGTCCCAAAAAAATCATAGTAATATTCCCGAATAAGCATTGATTTACTCCTTAACACACTGCAACTTTAAAGAGTCTTCACTTTGTTTAGAAGTACTAAATAATTGTTATGTCAACACAGAAACGAGTGGAGCTTCGAAACACTTGCAATACGCTATCACAATAAGCTCATGTAAGCTAGCCGGCAAACTCAGACAAAAACCACTGTTGAACATGTTTTAAATGTAAAATTTTCCAACTCTTATCTCAAATGATATTCGTTTATGGGTTAACAATTCAAGAAGGACAATTGCCAGCTTTAAAGGAAAATCTATAAGCTGTAACTATAAGCTGTAACAGTAAAAAAAAAGTCTCTAAGTTCCTTCCTCCCCCAAACATGCACGCATAAGAAAGTTTCCGACCTTGAAACGCTGCAATGAGAAGCAGTTAAGCCAAAAAAAAACCTTTTGGGCAAAAAAATGAAAAACTGAACGTATGCAAAGTCGAAATTCGTAATTTTACAATCAACAAAAAATAAAAAATCTGAGCTGAAGGGGAATTTCATATACAAAGATGATTTAAATATATATATATATTCGCTGACGAAATAACAGAGTTGATGAAAGATTTTTTCGACGAAGTGATTTTGTTAGATAAATTGTTAACCTAAAAAAGTTTATCTTCCGACTTGATATCGCCGCTTGCTAATCGCAAACGTAATAATACTATTTTTGAAATTATTCAAAACATTATTCAGTTTTTTTACTTCTACTGAGAACTGTGCTTCTGTACTGTAACTTCTGGATATTGATTTTCAGAAACCAAAATGACGAGACCGAACACAACGCAGCTACAACCTTCTGAGGTAGTGTATGGTAGTAAAGAGCAGTGATTGATAACATGAAAATACAGAACACAATATAGACGCAGCTAAACAATCGGCCAAAAACCAGTGAGAATGAAAATGCTCCCTCGGATTGACGCAGAGAGGAATGGAGTAGCATTATAGCAAAAGTCAGAAGAAAAGTATGTCCTGAAATATCGAAGCCGTCGTACCATTCTAGTCCAGCTTTGATACACTCAGCCTTTGAACTTTGTATCGAAATGCCATCTTGGATACAAGATTTTGTGAGGTAATGAGTCAAATTGAATAAACGAGTGAAAACATACCAATTGGTCGTGTATAACAAACCCTGAACGATAGAAGCTATATTTTTGTTTCTCTGGAGAAGAAGGTAGGAGAAAACTGTTATCAACCAGCCTTGTGATTTAATCACGTAATTGAATTTTGAGCCGATTTGAGGACTAACAGGGTTCCGCATGCCATACTGATCTTTGACTAGCGATAAACTGGTAACATAAATAATCACAGCTGCCGACACGGTCAATTCTCTTACCGTCATGTTTCTCTGAAAGGAGGAAGCAAATTTCTACACAGACACGAAGCAGAGCTTCGCACTACTTGAGATACAAAACAAAAACAGTTCGAGCAATGGTCGAGAGAAAATAGGACAAGAGCCATTTAGTCCATAGAAAAATTGAAAAGGCGAAAAAAAACATCACAAAAACAACAACCTAAAATAAAAACAACCTTGCGGATTGAGCGCAAATTAGCATTAACCTGCTTCAATACTCAAACAACCCTACAGTAAAGTCACCAGAAACAAGCCACAATTTTGATTGTTACAATCCTGTTTTTTCTCGCATGAAACTCAATATGAAGACTCAGAGGCGAGGTGGTGACTCGGTAGAGCAGTAAAAGCTGGCAGACAGAAAAGGACTGAAAAATGGTGTAGGAATATAAATTACGAGTAGTATTAAAAGTATTACTAATTTTATTATACCCCTCCTGGTCCGTTCAATATCCGATTTAAGGTGCTTGACTCGGAAATTCGCAACTCGGCGGAGGGTCACTACAGTGGTCACTGTCGAGCCCCCCACAGATTGATATCGTACTTTCTGTACCAAAAGAGACACAAAACTTGTTAACGATACTCAGCAGTCGATTGTTATTGTCCTTGAGACCCTTCCTGCTGCTCCTTGCCGGACCAGTCTTCCGCTCTAAACCCGGGACCCTTCCGGATTGAGCGCAAATTAGCATTAACGTGCTTCAATACTCAATCCAACAATACAGGCACCAAAAACAGGTCACAATTTTGATCGTTACGATCCTGCTTGATATAAATGCTTGTGAACACAATACATCTAACATTAACAAATGGGAGGGTTGGATCACATCTCGTCTGGTGTGATGAATTTTAGATATTTTTTAAAATTATATTTGTTTTTTTCTCTGTTATTTTTGTTTTTTCTTTGTTCTTAGGAATTATACTACTTTTTGTTTGGTTTCTTAAGTCTTGCGAAAATAGTGAGCTCATGGCTGTATCTCAAAATCCCCAGACCACGGGGTCCTTAGTAAGAACAGGGCTACTACTTAATTATCGTAAGACTATTGTTTTGTTCAGTAAAAAAAAATCTTCATATCCAACGGAGATGGATCAACCCTTTCCCTCAACTCCTAGCTTCTCATTATCTGAAAATGACATTTCAGGAAGAAGAGAAGAGGTAAATTACCAATGTTATAAAAAGCGTTTGTATAAACAAAATAAAAATTAAGAGTTGAAGTTTGATATTTCGAGCGCCTCGGCAACGCATGCAGCATTTCCCCGTTGGACGGCGATGTCGATACGCTGTTTTAGGAAGGCGAACGATCTCTTTTCTC